GTGCCAGACAATTCTTCAACAAATTCCTATACGATATTTATCGAAGATTTTGAATCTGAGTTCGGAATTTCGGTTTTTATTATACAAGGTGAGTTATTCTCACAAAAACTCAACATAGGGGAAAACTATTATTCCGGTCCTGATATTGGTTTCGATCATAGGGCTACTTCTTAATGCCTCTTAGTGTAATCCGTGTACCAAATTTGAATCGAATCGGTGAATCCCTGAATTTGATTGAATTTTTTGTCAAAATCCACAAATCACTCTGTATCTCAGTAGCGAAGTGGTTTTGCACATTCGTTTATGGCATTTTGCAATCATATTGACATTCCCTATAACCCCATAAGTTTTGTCGGTTTTATCTCCGGACACCCTGTATATCACATATATTCACACTGTTGATGGTTTTTGTTGCACTAAATTCACAATTTTTGATATGAAATCACAGAATTATACTGACAGATATTTGATTACTTCGAAAGAATGATATAGATGCCTGCAAATACAATCAGTTCCAATAAAAGTGACGCACTTGATATTTGACCTATCTACTACTAAAAAATAGAAGGCCAATTTCTATTTTTTATTTGTTGGTAGGTAATGCATTTGTCTTTGAAAAAAAATATAAAGAGGTGAACATTTTTTCAAAGCCTCCTTGATGGTGGTGGAATAACTCGAACCATGATTTATTCTTAATTTTTGACTCACCCTGTGTGTTAATTGAGTAATGGCATAGAAAGTGCTTTGCTTACACCCTATACGAAAGAGGCTTCTTTTGCGAGCATTTCGTTTCTTCATTCATTGATTTATCTCTAAAATTTTCCGAATTACAGCTTTTTTTGCTGAATCCTTGCAGATTACCAACTTTCTGAATTTATCGAGGAACAATTTTCTAATGAAATAAACTGATACCAATAATTTTAAAAATCATTTTCATTGAACACAACATTATAAATTGGGATGACTGCTCAATACCGTGTATCGCCTCCTCTAGTAACACTAAGAACTAATCTACGAGGCATACTGGAAATTCAGTTGCTTATCGTTTCCATTGGTATACGATCCCATTCTTCCACTAATGCATCTGCCATTTCTGCGAGACTTTCCGGAGACCTCTCGCGAGAACGTACCCTTCTCCCTAATTCATCCCACAAATGTTCTATAGGATTCATATCGGGGCTTCTCGCAGACCATTGTAATGTGGTAATACCAGTAGCTTCTAAGAAGTTTCGCACTATTGCTGCGGTGTGTGGTCGGGCATTATCCTGCATCAATATAAAATTATTGCCCACTAACTCTGCATAAGGTAAGACATACTGCTCTAAAATGTCAATGTAAATTTGGGCATTCATCGACTGCCTCACCGGAAAAACATGAAGGAGTGTCTTTCCATTCATTGAAATCCCTCCCCACACCATAACGGACCCACCATTCAAACTTCCGCTTTCTGTTATTAAATTTTGATTAAATCGTTCACCAGTTCTTCTCCACACTTTTTTTCTTCCATCCACCATGTTAAGGCAAAACCTTGACTCATCCGTAAACAAGACATTCGACCATTCAGGAATATTCCAATGTCCATAATTTTCAACAAAATTTCTTCTAGCTGCACGATGTTCGGGCAATAATTTGGGACCTTTTGCAGGTCTCCTAGCTTCTAAATTGACTCCTTGTAGACGTCTACATACCGTCTGCTTACTTACTGCAACATTACGAATATGGCGAAGATCTTGTTGAACATTTACCACAGTATTTGATCGATTCTGTAAAATCCGCAATCTCAAGAAGCGATCATCTCTTGGAGAAGTTTTTCGGGGGCGACTAGAACTGACCCTCCGATCGGTGCTTCCTGTTTGTTCGTACTTGTGGATTGCTCTACGAGCAGTTGCTTCATGAACTCCCACTGCACGAGCGGCGTAACGTTCACTACGCCCATCGTTTACTAACGCAACTAATCTTGCTACTTGTTCAGGATTTATTTGAATTTTATGTAATTTAAGTTAATAAAACAAGACACTTAATTAATTACCGACGACATATGGTCAAATATGGAGGCATACAATAAATTAGTTGCTATGGCAACGGCATTTGTTTTTTTAAAGACAATGTGATCCCACCAGAGTACAACACAATCAATTTTGAGTACTCTGATCCTTCAATGAATTTAATTTGTGGGATAAGCGTAAGGTATCAGCAAAAAAGCTGTAATTCGGAAAATTCTAGAGATAAAACAATGAATAAAGAAACAAAATGCCCGCAAAAGAAGCCTATTTCGTATAGGGTTAAAGCACTTAGTATACCATTACTCAATTAACACACAGGGTGAGTCAAAAATTAAGAATAAATCATGGTTCGAGTTATTCCACCACCATCAAGGAGGCTTTGAACAAATTTTCACCTCTTTATTTTATTTTAAGGCAAATGTTACCAAAAAAAAGGAAAAAATGTAAATCGGCCTACTATTTTTTTTTTTAAGAAGATAGGTCAAATATCAAGTGCGTCACTTTTTTTGGAACTGAGTGTAGATGCCTGCAACGCAGGTGTCATTACTGTTAAAAACTTCGAATTTCACGTCGATAATTTTCTGATCTCAATATCTTCTTATCAATATTGAATCGTTCTTTTTTCCTGTTACAGAAATAAATCGTGTATTTATTATACACGGGAAAAATATTAGATTTTAGCTCCAGGCTGTGTTGTCTCTCGACGCGTAGCGGAGGGAGACAAAAAACCGCAAAAAACCGTACTTTTTCCCTTGTATAATAAATAACTAATTGTCTCGTGGCATTAGCGTTCTCGGCAGGTAATAGATTATGTCATTGATTATTACGATTCGTTTTTGGGCCCGTCTTGAATGAAACGGACAGTAACTAATGTAACTATGCAGTTATATAACTTCCAAATAAACAAAACGATTACATTCATATCAAGATAAGTACCAGCCTCGATATATATTCTTCATGGAGACAATGACAATGAATACAAACACTTGGGTATTATAAGGCATGATGAATCAACAAGTTAATGAATCAATCATCAAATCTGGTCACTATATAATAAATCTTAATTCGGTCGCATAACGCAGTAACACTCAATGACGAGCTAAAATGATCAATTTGAAAATTATGTTGATAAACAATTAATATGCGTTTCAATAATCAGGTTAGGTGAGATTCTAGATTTTTCAATAGAATGAGAAATTGTTAATATAATTACCGATACTGTCTGTAGGTTAATCGAGAAGGTAGTATATTCATTTTACTTGAATATTTGGGATTTTCTCCCCGTTTCTATAAAATGAAAATAGGATTATCATTTCAATATATGTGTATATAGGACCAATCAAATAATTTGACTCAAAATGTCACTGCGTCTAACAAATTTTTCAATCAGGAATCCTGAAAGAAAAATCCAATAGCTTGTTAGTAACACTTTATTTGGAAAAATTTTCGAAGAGAAGAAATATAGATATATTGAAAATTTTGAGAAGATGGATTCGGACCTGTTCTCTTTTTTAGCGTACTCTGACCGTTAAAATCTCAAGAAATATAGGTCCTAGAGACATGTTTGAAGTCTCAATCGATTGAGCACGGCCTGTTTCACTAGGAAATAGGATATTTGCGACATTTCCTACTATTTTCTGAGATTTATTGTCATCTGAAAATCGTTGTATCGTCTCTCGGAAATTTCTCGATTTTTTCGCAAGTTCGAACATGAAAATTCTCAATTCTTGGTTTTATGTTCTGAAGAAATTTGAAGACAGATTCGGATCTGAGAAACAGAATACGTGAACAAATATCCGATTTTTCTCACTGTAACTTGTTGGTGTTTCGATCAATTAAAGAAACTCCTAATTCAATCGACTTACACAGAATATAAAAGGAATTGTTGAATCAACCAAAATTTAATTGAATGAAGCAAATAAAAATGTCACATATGCACGACAAAATATAATCTTGGAATAAGTAAATCTATATATTGTTCCAGAGCGAATTTGAAGTTCGAATTCAGTAATATATGTCTTGCATGAACCCTGGATCTTATTCAATCGAGCACATTCATGAATTATTTATGAAGAGATATTGAATTGGCTTGAACAATCATTATGTTCGATTTAAACTAACAAGATATTGATTCAATCAAGTATTTAGTTGATTAAATGAAATATTTGATTGATTCAAAGAAATATTTGGTTGAATCAGAGATTATACACACATCTCTGGTTGAATCTGTATTTCCATTCGTCAAATTGTTTTGTTGAACCAAATTCAGTATTTATTCGGTTATTTACTGAAATTTCACATTAATAGAATAAACTAAACTAGGAAAATAGTCGACTTCTAGCATATTTCTCCAAGCTTTACTTCTCTTCAGCTGATGTAAAAGTAATTTGGAATGCTAATCATCCTGAGTTCGATTTATCCAGCTGATATTTCAAACACGAAGAATCAGGCTTAACGTATATGTAATGAATTCGATGCAGTCATAGACGAGGCGGAATGATCGCCATCTAGAGGAGAAAATGTAACTTGATGTAGAATGAACAACATATATTTTATTGATATTACATATTTCGTTGCTCTATTCAAGCAAATGATCCGTTTAAAACGAGTTCATTGCTACATCGGAATAAGAAAACTTGTATATTGTTTCCGAGTTGTTTCAAAGATATATTCTTATCAACAAAATGTTTATAGTTGTATCAACATCGGCATTATTTTGGATCGACATAATTTGTTTTTGAGGAAACCATATATTTTGTTGATAGAAATGATATTATACTGTTGATTCAATTAGACTACATTCTTGATTTGAACAAGCTGCTTATTCAATAAAGAAATCATGTATCTGGTTGATTCAACACAAAATTGCTCAGTCCATATAAATGATTTATCCTTTTTCCGTGTAGTATATCAGTTACGGTTACCAAGATCCCAATGATACCCCTCGAATTTGAGACACCCTATATACATATCAATAACGATTCGTTGTTTTTTTAGCTCACCGATAAGTGACAGTGTGCCCTGTGGCTGCGCCTACTTCGAGGACGATTTCATTTACCAACCCCAATCCTTCCTGAAAGACAAATTCACTAATCTGGTGCATTACAGCACGTACAAGTCAGTGGGGCATTTTGCGGCCATAGAAGCAACTAATTTACTAGCAGATGATATTTTATCCTTTATAAACAAAGTGCATAGCAAGATAACGAATGATTAGTTGATATATATACATGTAATAAAGAATTCTGTTATTATATTGACCTGGTCGTTACTTGATGGAAATTCGTATAGTAAATGTAAAAAAACTTCACAAACGATAAGATTTCTACAAAATTCCTACTCCCCTTTCCTTCAGATGGTGATTCCTTTGGTCGTTTTGATGAAAAGTTCCTATGAACATTTATACAGTGTGTCTCACTTATTCTAACGGAAACACCCATGTATCTTTCGTAATGGGCCTGTTTCAGTAAAAATTTATTTCATCATTTCGAAGTACCATCCCAGCGAGCACAAAAACATCTCAGAGATGTTAAAAGTACGAGATTTCGAGACATTGAACCTCCACTGCGATGTTCTGTTCACAATAGAACTATTATAGAACAGCCAATGTCCGCCGCAGGCGGCAATTATCGAGATGTCCTTGATATGTCACAAAACTACCTCTTCCCTAGTTCTTTTTAAAGCCTTTTCATGGACACAACAGAACATTTTCAACGCGTCTTGCGGTAACGGTTTTGCGCACATCAAATCGCTGTAAAAAAAACATTTTCGAGGTACTTTTCTGAAGCCTTTTGTCAAAATGAACTTTTGCATTAAGATTCCATTTCCCTTGAATGAAAAAATGCATTAAGAATGAACATAAAAATATTTTCTTGATATGAAATTACCCTCTTAATCGGTTTCTGAGTAGTGCTTGCTACACACAGACATATAATTGGAAATAGGTTTCCCAATTTTTGAAATGTTCTCCACAATGCATAATTTTGCAACTGCGGAGAAGCTGATGTGTTTTGATGAATTCGTACTTTTATACATTGATTACACTGAGGCAGCGAACAACATCTTGCATCTGATGGTCATTATTACAAACTAAATAAGTCTTCTAACACAATAAACTTCACCAAATTCATTTCTGTTCGTTAGCAGCGTGATGTAAGCGTGACACGCTGCAAACGCGAATGCCAATTGCGAACAAGAAGAACAAAATCAAAAACAAATCAGAATTCATCGTATTGTGACGTAAGCATGAGACGTTGTGGTGGGGCAAACAAAGAAAGGGCACAAAAGAACAAAAACAATACTTTCAATATCCTTCTAAGACCTCTTTGGGAAGTGCATATTACGCCTCAAAAAAACATCCTCATGCCTTCATTTCTAAAACATCCCAAAACATCCCAGGGATACCCCTCAGTAGGTAATCAAAGAAATGCCATTCAAGAACAAAAACAATACTTCAATATCCTTCAAAGACCTCTTTGGTCAGTGCATATTACGTCTCAAAATAACATTTTCATGCCAACATTTTCAAAACATCCCAGGGATGTTTGTGCTCGCTGGGATGAAGTACTACCCTAGATAGTCCACTGTAGCAAACCGTTTTTTCCCCAGAGCTTTGTGAATTGGTGATATTTCATGACATAAAAAACGCGGGAAAACTCGTGGCGTAATCATCCGAAAAAAATTCGACATACGTATCTATCCTCCTTGTCTGTTAGACAAGTGCAAGAATATTTCAATCATTTCAATCATAATATGAAAAAAGGTCGCCTCCTCAGAAGGTGCTTGCCCTAGACTCTAGTGAATTTTCTGGACTGAATACTTTCTGCAGATAACAGAGAATACAACACACAACTGAAGAATCAGATAATAGGAGAAATATCTTTGAAATTTCGCATCTTGACTAGATGAAACAAGGATTTAGAGATGAAGGTGACGTTAGGAAGTTAGGTTGACAATATAGTTCGTCTTTTTCTTCTCTTCTTCTATTTCTGGGAACTCTAGTCATTACGCTGTTGCCAGTGCGACAAAATAATTCGGATGTTAATAAAATCTCAATCATTATTAAAGGATACTAGGATATTCTCATTGGTACTGGAGCCTCTTGCAAGTATATAAGTATTCAATAAGTGATTATTCGGGACCAGTTCGAACTATATATTCACGGTAATCAAGGTCATCAAAACTGCGGGAAAATATTTATTAACTCCTGGCTTAGATTGAAAGTTAGTCATGTTTTCCCGTAGTTTTATGTCATCGCAACGTCAGATAATGACCTTGGCTATCGCGAATTGTCTTCTGTGAATGTGAATATTGTTGTCATTGATGATGATACTGAATCTCATGAGGTAATTATTATTAGTAACAAATCTGGCAGCGTCTAAATATGTGATCATATACTTTTTATGCGAAAGCTAGAATTCAGATAACGATGACCGAGACGATGACTTTCGGTCGTTCGGTCCATTACGTCATCGAAGCTGGCTTTTTCGAGGGTGCCGAATTTCATTATTGAAAAAAATATATTTGCGATGATTTTAAATAAATGATTGAATTCATACACGGAATGGAATGATCAATATGAAATAGGTTTGTGGCGTAAATTCGACTAATGTGTACATCCCCAATTGCAGGAGCGGGAGATATACTGAAAATACACACTATAACCAACTGGATTCTTTTTTCATACAATGCTCACCAACAGCCATGGAACCACTCACAGTTTGTTAAGCAGTCCATGGTGCAAACACGGTCGAATGCTTTCGATATTAACGCCACAGCTAGAGCTGACACACGAAGTTGATGATGGGTTTCTGGAAGACGAAACGTAGGATTTAAAGACGCTATCTTTCAATGAAGTGAAAGTGGTCATGATATAGTCGATCTCATTCATTTCGATTAATTTCTTCAAATAACTTGAAAAAGAAAGGTTTTTTCCGTGTATCTCCGAAAGTATTCGGAATTTTCCAAGTTTCGAAATGTCAGCCACGCTATACAATTAGTACAATACGAATCTAGCAATCATAACCCCACGGGTGAGTCCGGCCTGTCGTAGAAGGCGACTAAAAAGACGCCAACAGGTGGAAGATGACTTGGTGGGAATGTTGGTATCAGACATTGTTATATCAGGCATACTGAGTCTGCCTTTCTGGAGAAAATACAGGCTTCAGTTTTCGCGATGTTGAATTTAATTAGGTTGTTGGTAAAGTTTATGCAGAGTCAGTTGGAAAGAACACATCACCGCAAGCCGTCGGTCCCTTTGAAAGTTCAAAGAGTGCGGCAGCGCGGACCGACATTCCTTTGATGATCTGTTCAACTGACTTTGCATAAACTATACCCCCCAGGTTGTGATTTTAGCAAGATCTTATTCATTGCCAGCAATGAATTGCCAATCCAGGTCCGTGTATTTGGAAAAGATAAGTTGATGATGGTTTCTGGAAGACGAAACGTATTTGAAATCCGAAAACGCCAAGTTGTAGGGAAAAGAAAAAGAAAGTGCCATGATATATACGCCAACCATTTCGATTGATTATTTCTTAAAATAAAGCGAAATACAACTTGGAAGGGCGTTTTAGGAAATAGTTATTTTTTTCGTATCTCCGAAAGTATTTCGAAATTTTTCAAGTTTCGAAACGGCATTTTGTTAGACATGAAATTTCGCAACTTTACCTTAACTTAACCGACCCTGTATCTCTTATGGTTCACGAGATCCCATTGATGAGGCTCGAATTCCAACCACCCTATACACATGACAAAACAAGAATGAACTTGTTCGGACTTGAGTCAGGCTGGCTATCCTCTTTCTCTGCGGCTGATTGTGTGATATAAATAATGTTTGTTTCTCCTTCTCCAAGGCGCTAAAGTTCATTTTCCCACGTAACAAGTATGCTGACTTGTACAGCCCCTACCTATCGTACTGTGATACCGTGATCATACCTACTTTTACTCAACAACAGATGGAATCTTGAAGGTAGGTACAGGTACGGTGCGATCATATACTTTATGTAAGACGTACTGATGCACAGCATAAGGATTAAAATTTGCTCTGACAGATTGCTCCGTGGTAACTTGTGGTAAATACGTACAAGCGGAACTATTCTGGTGCAATGCTCATCAGGCTCACATTCATATTTATCCAATGCAAATAGCCTAGGAACAGTAGGAACATACGAATTTGAACTGGAAAAAGTTTATCGTATTCTAGTGGTCTCAGTTGCCTGCTGGCCGTAGTCACGTGTGTTTATGAGTTCGTTACTTCGTTGAGGGTTATAATCGTTCGACCGGTTCGGTATTCGGTTGCTACCAGTGGGTCAAACGAATAGTGATCGTCTGTGACCTGAATGCTAGGGACTGCACGATTGGCTGATTGCCGGATAAATGGTGAGTTGCATTCGTTATCGAAATTAATGTAAATACAATGAAAATAATATATAAACTTGAGGTGATCCATGAGATAAGTTTGGCGTGCACGCGGTGTTTGTTGATATCGGTGAGCGAAAATTTTGGACTAAGAGCAATTAATAAGTTGTCGATGATCTAATGGAATTTGTAATTCGATACTTTTGTTTTTTGCTCAATGTTCAATGGGCTTGGCTGGGTCAATGATACCTGCTATATGCAACAGCTGATCGTTGAGATTACGATGAAAGAGAAAATAAAGTAGTTTCACGTCAAGTTTCGGGTATTAGGTAAGTATTCGAATCGTGCAACAAGTGGTCGTGGCTTTGTAACAATAGCAACGAACATTCCGTTTATGATCGGTGACAATAGTTATTTATTATACATGGGAAAAAAGTAGTAGATTTTAGCTCCAGGTTGTGTTGTCTCCCGACACGTACACGCGCGTACACGTAGGAACATCTCTGGAAAATTTCCTTGGGACATTCTTGGGATGTTGCTGGCAACACCCGTGTCAGCATTTGCGATGTCTTATAAACATCCCATCAGAATGTTTGTGGGATGATATGGGATGTACCATGTACCAGAAACATTCAGGGTACTTGATAAGGAACATCTTGAGGAAACTTATATAGGTTTTTTGTTTGATGACAGTAATGGATGACACGGTACGAATTATTTTCAATCAGGACAATCTGAATCCGAAAATATAAGGTCGGTCCGGTCCAATAACTAATGGAAGATGATAACTTTGATAACAGTTGTTTGAGGCTCATATTTGTTGACGCTGGGCCGACGG